CCAAACTGGCTCGTCGTTCGCGAACAACTCGTGTTCGGCTAGTGTTTAGCTCGTTTGTTAAGAAACAAACACAAACAATTACTTCACGAACAATTTTGAACACGAGCTTATTTCAAACAAACTAAATTTCAAACGAGCCGAGCACGAACTCAAGCTCTGTTTGTTCGTGTTCGATTCGTTTACACCTCTAGTTACCCTGTTCTTTTGTTGCTCTCACAGGTTTTGAGCTGTAGCTTCTTTATTCTTTGGATGTTCTCGTTTTGGACTCTAGCGAGTGTCCATGAAGTTTTTTTGGCTTTACAATTCCCACCTCTATTTTTGCACTATTTTTACATGTTCATATGGGGTATACTTCTTTGGTTGGGTATACATTTTATTGGGATACATGTAATTTTGGGTTTGATTTCCTTTTCGCTCTTTTTTTTCTCTTTTTTGTGTAGAGTTTTAATGCCGATGGAGGAACCCCTAGGACTTCATGTATTTCTTTTTATTTTTAGTGGGGTTGCTCTTTCCCACCCCTTTTTTGTCACCTCCTTTTTTTATTAACACGTAAGGAGCCACAAATTGCTCTTTTAATTTAAAAAAATGTAATGCCCTTGGTACATTTCAAAGATGTATGATGGTTATTTTTTGTGATTTAATTGAAAAAGGAATTGAACTTTTTATGGATGATTTTTCAGTGTTTGGAACTTCATTTGAATCATGTTTAGAAAATTTATCAAAATTTCTTAAGCGTTCGGAACAAACAAATTGAAAAGTTGGTGGAAAAATATAATATTATTCATAGGATTTCAAATGTTTATTATCTCCAAATTAGTGGTTTAACAGAAGTATCTAATCGTGAAATCTAAAGAATTTTAGAAACAACTATAAATCCTAATAAAATAGATTTGTCCGAAAGATTAGATGTTGCATTATGGGCTTATAGGACAGCTTATAAGACGCCCATAGGAATAGACCCATACAGATTAATTTTTTGGAAGACTTGTCACTTACCAGTAGAATTGGAACATAAAGCTTATTGGACTTTTAAGGAGTTTAATTTTAATTTAAAAGATGCTGGTGATAAAAGATTATTGCAACTGAATGAGCTTGAAAAAACTAGGAAAGAATAGTATGATAATGTTAGGATATATAAAGAGAAAATGAAAGAATGACATGATCAGAAGATAATAAAAAATAAATTTGATTATGGACAGGAAGTTTTATTATACAATACAAGATTGAAATTATTTCATGGAAAACTGAAGTCTAGGTGGACATGACCATTCACCATTGTAAAAGTATATCCCTATAGAATTGTTAATATTGAAGATCCCAAGACTGGAAAGATATTTAAAGTGAATGGGCACATGCTGAAACTATATTTTGATGGTCAAAGTCCAAATTTTAAAGAGACCGTAATGTTGATCCCCCATAGTAAAGAATGAGAATGTCGTACTGACGATATTAAACCAAGCGTTTTGTGGGAGG